TTCTGGAAAGGACCCATAATGTGTGATGGAAAAGCCCAGCTCCCTATGGAGCCACAGTCAGGATCAAAGGATTTACCAGCTACCACCATAAAGGAATGGAGGGACTGGAATATGATATCCCGTAAGGCAAAGGAGCTAGAATCACGACCTAGAATAATCTACCCAACAAAACCAAGTATAATCCTATGGAGGCGAGAGTGGGGGTGGAAGTAGTCTGGCAGAAATCGGGCATTGACTAATATCTCATACCTGATACTAAGATAAGCTCAAAATGAATATGAGATTTAGTCATAAAAGATCATAAGCAAATTAGGGGAGCATGGAAGAAATTGCCTATCAAATCTATGGATATAAGAAGAGTTCATGATCAAGTAAGAGACAGAGAGGTTTGTGAGAGGCAAAATGAGTAATTCTGATTATAGTAAATTAAAAAGCTTTTGTACAAACAAAATTAATGCAGCCAAAATTAGAAAAAAATAGGAAATGGGGGGGAGGTGCATTTTACAGCAAGTTTCTCTGATAAACTTGGAACTGAGTCAAATTTATAAGAAGAAGAGTCATTCTCTAATTGATAAATGGTCAAAGGATATGAACAGGCAGTTTTCAGAGGAAGAAATCAAAGCTATCCACAGTCATATAAAAATGCTCTAAATCACGAATAATTACAGAAATAAAAATTAAAACAACTCCAAGGTACTACCTCACACTCATTAGATTGTCTAAGATGAAAGAAAAGAAACATGATAGAAGCTAGAGGGATGCGGGAAAATAGGTACACTGGTGTACTTTTGATGGAGCTATGAACTAGTCCAACCACTCTAAAAAACAATTTGGAACTATGCCCAAAAGGTTATAAAACTGTTGATACCCTTTGACCCAGCAATAATTCTATGATGTCTATATCCAAGAGATCAAAAAAAAAAAGGAAAAGGACCCATATGAACAAAAATATTTATGGTGGCTCTTTTTGGGCTAACAAAGAATCGTAAACTGAGGCTATGTCCATCAATTGGGGAATGGCTGAACACATTATAAATGTATTAATACTATTGTGCTGTAAGAAATGATGAAGAGATTAGTTTTAGAAAAACCTAGGAAGATGTAAATGATCTGATGCAAAGTGAAGTGAACAGAATTGGGAGAACAATGTATACAGTAATAACAATATTGTAAAGATAAACAACTGTGAAAGACACTGTGACTCTGATCATTACAATGTTCCACCAAAACTCTAAAGGACTCATGATTCAAAAGTACTATCCACCTCCAGATAGAGAACTGATAAAATGCAAATTGTAGCATTTTTTTCCTTTTTTTTAGAACATGGCTAATGTACATATATATTTTGCATGACTTCATATATATAAAGACTATAATATTTCTTACCATTTCAGTGGTAAGGGGAGGGATGAGGGAGGGAAGGAGAGAATTTGTCAATGAAAATAAAAATAAAATTTTCCAAAAAAGGAAAACTTTTTGGGACCATTTCTATGTAGAAACTGCTTTAATTTTGAGCCTACTTTCCCCAGGGACCAAAGTCGTAAAGGGGAGACTACGCTCCTAGGTAAGGAGAAATCTCCCCCACTTTCAAGCATCCTATAGGTGTTGTCTCCCTCCACTAGAATATAAGGTCCTTGACAGTAGGGGGTGCCATGCTTGCTCATATCTCTAACCCCAGTGTTTCACATAGTGCCTGGGACACAGTAAGTAATTAATAAATGTTATTTATCTATCTATATATCTCTATCCATCATCTATCTCTCTATCATCTACCTACCTACCTATTTCTGTTCTTGCTATCTTCATAGCAAATACTCCTTTCTAAATGCTAATTGACCAAAAAAAAAAGCTAATTGGTACCAGTTTGGTTAAGTGGAACTCTAATACTAATTAATAGTGGCTAAAGTGTGGGGGGTACACTAGAATGGAGGTTCAATTTAATGACATTAAAGAAAGGTAATCCACTGCCCCTAGATGCCTCTAAAACCCTGATGGGGAGATGTGGCTAGCCTCATTTTGGAAGAGTAAATCCAGAGTCTTGCTACATCATTAACTCTATTGGATCTCAGTATGTCATAAAGCACGGCACATCACCAGCACTCCATGCTCAGCTCCCAGAAGATTCTGGGAACCAGAAAACTGGGAAGGGGCGGGACAGCAGAGAAGAGGAAGGTGCTCAGTTCTGACTCATGGGTCACGAACATAGTAAACTCAATTAACCTGTCCTCTGACTGGAACCATCTGTTCAGGTGACAGGGAGAAGAATACTGGACCTCTTCTGCACCTGCTCTGGGCTCAGTGCCAGCTCCATCAGCACCATAGAGCTAATTCTCCCGTGGAACTGAGCCAACCACAAATGAAAATACCCACTTATTTCTCAGCTTCATACTTTTGCCAGTGGCCTGCCACTGTGTCTACATGTGTGTATGTGTGTATGTGTGTATATAGTTTCAGCAAGGCAACTAAACTATCTTGAGACCCGTTCCCATACCCTTTTGACTACAAGAAAGTCTCTAACCCCAAAGCAAGCATTATACATAAGCTGATTAAATTTCCTTTCAGGTCAAAGCCAGTTTTTGAACAACCAACTCCTCCCACTCCAGCAATGTTTATAAGTACAAAATAATGTTATGCCTCAATGCTCTTTGTGCTGATTCTCAATTCCATAAGCCAAAATGCTATCTTTCAAAGGCACCTGAAGGTTCATTACAGCCGGGCTGTCATCTTTTCCTTGCTTCACTCCACAATTTTGGACTGTAGTCCGTTTCTTCATACCCCCAAACAATTAACCTTTGGTGAATTGACACTTCTAAGGAGTTTAGTATCTAATCACATAAGATGTAGAGTTTAGCTAACTTCAGGAAAGCATAGGATGATATTTGAACAATAATGCAATTCCCTACAACAAACACATATTAAGAAAATGGAGGAGAAACATGCCATAGTGGATAGGGTACTGAAATTGGAGTCAGGAAGATCTGGGTTCAAATACCACCTCAGGTACTTACATACCACTGAACAAGTTATATACCTCTATAAACTTCAGTTTTTCATATCTGTAAATTCAGGATAATAATAGCAACTACTTCACCATAGCTACTCAGAAGGAACAGCATGGTCTAATTTGAATTTCTTCTCTTTTTCCTATCTATTTTCTGGTGGATGTGCTAAGGGCTATTGACAGACCCCAAAGTCAACCAGCTGGATGATGAGAGAGAAGTAAGGGACTTGGATGGTCTACAAATGTGATCTCACTCCCCAAATTCAGGTTAAACAGATTTTTTAATCTACTGGATGGGGTGGGAAGAGAAAATAGATACATATTATTTCATTTCTAGATTCTTCCTCAGATTGTATGAATTTTAGCCTGGTTTTTGCCCAAAGTACCCTACAAAAGGTCAAGCTATGGTTTTCTTTCTTTCTTCTGTCTGGGGCCCAAGGTGGCAATAAGGTTGTTTTCTGAAAGGATAATGGAGATTACTTTCTTACGGGTTATTGGTGGGCAGGGAAGACCAAGGAGCAGAGTACCCCCCCAAGCATAGTCCCCCTCCCCTATGTATTAAGCACCTATTGCTATGGATAGGCAGGCAAGCCCAACAGTCTTGAGAGTTGCAGTGTTCTCCCACCAAAAACCACAAGGCCTGCTTCCTGCCAAGCCCTGCCAAGCCATCATCCAGGAGAGCAACCTTACGGAGATGTGGCCTGGCAACTATTTCTCCAAGTGCTTCAGCCTCTGCCTCCTCAATAGCCACAGTTACCGAAGACCCAGAAAAGACAGTCCTCAATGCCAAAGTCCTTGACACCATCAAATGGCTCAACATCAGAAATAGATATGGCTTTAGAGATGGAAATGACACCAAAGAAGACACAATGCCATCTGCTTTGTCACTGCACCATGGGCTTTTCCACCTCACTTAAGGTTGAATCCTCCTGTATGTGTCTCCCCCACTGAAATATGAGCTTCTTGAAAACTGAGTGCTTTACACATAGCATGTGCTTAATAAATGTTTTCCCCATCCAGTCATTCATTCATTCATAACTGTGTTGGAGAACACATTCATAACTGTGTTGGAGAACACTGGAAAAGGCTTGAAGAAGATATTAAGTTTAGGTATGATCTGGTCCTTGCCCTAATGCAGTTTACAGTGGGGAGATAAGACTGGTAGTCTAGGACGATAAATTCACAATGGACTCACGGATATAAAGATGAAAGGGACTCTGGGCTACACCCCTCATTTGGGAGCTGGGAGGGACCTCAAAGGCCATCTAACCTCTCTTTCTACAGATGAGAACGTTGAGGTTAAACGACCTGCCCAAGGTCTCACTGGCAATAAATGTCAGAGGCAGGATTTGAACCTACATCCTCCAACTCCAGAGCCAGAGTACTTTCCAATGTACAATGTTCATTTTACAGATGAGGAAACTGAGGCTCACCAATGGATGTGAAGGTAGAACTGAGATTCGAACCAGGCTCTCACTTTAGCGCCCTCTCCAGCACACTCAATAATGTATGTATGTACATGAGGAAGGTGGAGAACAAAATGTCATGTTAGGCCTAAGGGAGGAGGCTGTTACCTGCCCAGGTTCTCCGGTGAAACTCCCTGGAGAGGTAGCAACTGGGTTAGACTCTATGTCTTTCCCAATGGAAAGAATTCACTAGGGGGAAGGGCACCTCGACTGGTGGGGTGGAAGGGAAGGGAAAGCCAGGAATAAAGAAGGCGAGGCGGGAATGAACAGCTCTGCAGACTTGGGGGGTGGGGGGGCGGGACAAGGAAAAAAGAGGGGGGGGGGGGGGGGGGGACGGCGGCGGGGCATGGTGGGCGGGGCGGGGCGGGGCGGAGCCGGGCGAGCCAGGAGCGCTCCAGCCCGCAGGTGAGTTGGGCGGAGCGCAGCGCAGCGGCGCAGTGGAAGCGCCGCCGCCAGCCTTGGGCTCGGGGGGCAGCCGCTGGGGACCGCGGAAACAGTGGGCAGAGATCCCCCTGCCCCGCGGATGAGGAGGAGGGCTAGCAAGAGCCATGGGCGGCCGTAGCCGCGGCAAAGCGGCGGCGACGCTGCTGCTGCTGGTGGGGCTGCTGCAACTGGGCGCTGTGGCGCAGGTTGGGCGCTGGACAGGTAAGTGCGCTCGGAAGCGGCTCCCGAGCGGGAGACGGAGGAACCCTGGGTAAGGGGAAGCCGAGGTGGGGCAGGGCGAGGCGTCTTGAAGAACCGGGGCAAGGCTGGAGAGAGGTGGCGCCCAGGGTTCCCTGCACACCTGGAGCCCTAACCTCCAGGTGGACTATTCCACCGGTCTCTCTGCTGGAGGTGGCCGGTTCCTGTACCTTTCCTTCTCTCCTTCACCAAGGCTAAGGGATTACCAACTCTGCCCAACTAGGGCAAGTGTTAAACCCGCGCTGTCCCACTGTGGGAGCGGCTGGAAGTAAGCTGTTCTCGTAACACAGGAAGAAGGAAAAAGAATGTGTGAGTTGTGAATGCTGCAGGTAGGCTTGCAGAGGCCCGTATGTCAGAAGAGCATTAACTAAGTGAGATTAGATTTGAACTTCCTGACTCTAGAACCGGGAGTCTATTCACTGTGCCACCTAGCTGCCTAGGGCATTAACTAGTGAGTGAGGGAGACGGGTGGTGAAAGACTGAGTCCCCTAATTCCTAATTTGTTCTAGAGCTCTTTTTATCTCCTACTCTGAGGACTAGAGAAGAATATTGTAGGGAAAATGGTACAATAGGATAGATTTAGAGCTGAAACTCTACTACAATCTCCTCCTTTCCAGAAGAGGAAACTGTGGGCCAGAGAAGGTAGGTGACTTACCCAAAGTCACACAAATCCATGACAAAGCAGGGCCTGAACCCAGCTTCCCTGAATGCAAATCCAGGACAATCTCCACTTAAACCCTGATAGTTTTAAGGTTTGCCATGGGTTCCACCCCAGCTTCTCACTCTTGTCTCACTCCACCCTCCTCCTCCTTACTTCCAGGTCCCGGGAAATATGCCTTTGGCAAATCGAATTAGAAAATGAAAGCAATTTCCCCTACTTGAAGGTTATAATTTCACTGTCTTTACTGGTGATGTCTCTTAAAGTCTTCTGTTAAGGCTGGACTTTCCATGTACCCCATTGCTCTGTGTTGATTTATTTATTTATCTTCATAAAAGAGGCTGGGAGATGGGGTACTACAATTAGGACTTAAATTAGAATTTTAAAAAATTCAGGAGGACACTCCATGAGCATGCCTTCACCCTAAAAGCTTTAGGAAAGTCTACAGTCTAGTTAGTAATCATGGAAAATGATTTCTGAAGGGCCACGATTTCTGGGATAGAGACAGATGGCAGAGACAGAGAGGAAGAGAGGGGGAGGGGGAAGCATTTTGTTTTTAAGTGTATCAATAAGCAAAAGTAGTTTTGCTTCTGATCTTCCCTTCATGAACTAAGCAGCTTTAGATGGTGACTACTGCTTCCTGCCCCATTAGACAGGTTGCTATGATTTCATCGGTTATCATGAAGGATGTGTAATCTTTCAGTAAACTGAAGAGAAACTAGGCCAGGTGTGCACAATCAGGGTAAACCCTAGAGGTCAAATGAAGTCTTATTTGGATCATTAAACTGGTAATTAAACATAACTGATTAATTACATAATTTTTCTCATTGTTTTCTGCTGTATTACTGAATGTTGTATCAGTATACAACATTTAAAACATGACAGCCTTGGTGGAAAGAGCAGGCTTGGCGTCACCAGACCTGGGCTTGAGATCTGGCTCCCCCATTTATTAATTATATGGTCTGACAACTCACAACTTCTGTGAGCCTTGGTTTCTTCATCCTAAAAATGAAGTTGTTGATGCCTTTACAAGTTACCTCACAAGATTGTTGTGAGAATTGAATTAAATGATGGGTGTAAAGCACTTTATAATTTCCAAGGGCTATATAAGCTGATCCTATGACATTTACAAAGCACCCACTATTGGCAATTCTTCATATACTTTATCAGCTATATCAAAACTCAAACAGAAAAGAGCTACTAAACCATACATAAAGATCCCTGCTAGTGCACATTGACTTAAAAAACCACTATCTATGTTTTATTGTATTTTTTTTGTTAGATATTTCCCAATTACATTTTAATCTGGTTCCTATTGTACTAAGGAAGGCCATGTGCTTGACACATTTGCTTTAAACCACTATATTAAGCAGGAATTACTATCATTCGTAGTGCTTTGCACATCACAGTTACTAATAAATAAATAAACAAAAGCTCATTAGTTTGAATAGATAATCTTGGTAATCCAGGAGGAAGGGGTCAAAGTTATTATAAAGAAGCTAAAAGAGATGGGGTTTGCCTCTCTTAGTTATTTCCTGTCATTTTCCCCATTTCCCCCAAGGTCCCAATTAGGATTTTTAGGGTATTGGTATCCATTCTAAACCAACACGAATTTATTAAGGGCTTACTATATAGAGTGAAGAGTCATCAGGTCCAAGTGATAGAGAAAGCTGGCTCCAGAGTCAGGAAGACGTGAATTCAAGTCCTATCTCTAACTATAGACCCTGAACAACCCATTTATAACCTCTCATTGTCCCAGTAGAGAAGGTGCCAATCTGCATTAGTCGAGGGAATTCCTCACTAGAAGCTTCCTATGCCAATGAAATAACAGTTGCTATACTACTACTACTAATACTACTACTACTACTACTGATGATGATGATGATGATGATGATGATGATGATGATGATGATGATGATGATGATGATGATGATGTATGAAACACTGGAGGCACAAATACAAAATGTGGGGAGAAATAGTTCCTGCCCTCATTCTTTCATTCAATGGGGGTGGTGGGGATACATGTAACTAGATTGGAATGCATTGGTCATTTTGGGACAGTAATTTAGTTCAATTCAATAAATATTAAGCATGTACTGTGTTAAAGGCTCTGTGTTAGATACTGAAGATAAAAAGACCAAAAAAAAAAGTCCTCAGCTACCAAGGAGCTTATATTCTTCTGAGAACACAACATCTAAAAAGAGGAAGGACAAAGAAGCGATAAGTAGGAACAGAAGGAAAAGTTCCTTAGAGGAGGTAGCTTGAGTTGAGGATGTGGGAAAGGAGTGTATTCCTGGAGCTGGCACTGGCCAGTGCAAATATAAAGATAGGAAATGGAGATCATACAGTCCAGTCTTTTGATGGTTGAGGAAACAAGCCCAGAGAATTGAAGTGATTCACCCAAAGTCACACAGCTGACAAAGGAGCATAGCAGGATCCATGGGATGTGTTGGTCAATGTCTAACAACCACTGTGGGGAAGGGTATATTCAGAACACCTTCTTAACTTTACTCTGTATTATTAACACTTTTTTAGGACTAGACAGTTAGCAAAACTATAAATCAAACCCTAATTTGTGGTGCTTGAGTATTTTGAAGTATAAATGCTCACACTGAAAATTTAACAAGAGGGTCTCCTGAGTGGTTTGAGCTGGCTGCAGCACATCCCTGGGCATGGGAACCAAGTGCATAAAGAAATGGCATCAAGTGAGTGTTGTTAGGTGTGTATTCATTACCCTTTGATTCAGCCTGATCAGTATACAGACCTTAGCTTAGATAATCAGTCCATCTCCAGCTTTAACAGGTCACTCTGGTCTTTCTTCTGTGATCATTTCCCATCAGAGTCCAGGTTGCGTTACTTTAGGAAGTAGATGCTACATTTCTTTTTCTCACTTGAGGTTCACAAAAAAAAATGACTAATACTAAGACAGAGAATAGGGCTATTATCCAGTCACCGAGTGAGTAACCTGACTCAGCAGGGTACACGGTTTAAAATTAAAGTAAAAAAGAGGAAAATTCCAGAAATCTTTCAGGTGTCCTCCCCTTGCTTAACACAAGCCCTGTCTTTGTTTTTACACGCCTGTACTCGAGTTGGATGGTATGAAACATGGGGCTTGTGGGCAGGAGTTTGTGCTGGATTTATTGCACAAATCTGCTTGGTACTGGCTGTGATGGAAAGAATTAAGTACAGATAGATGCAGAAGAACAGAGAGGATCTGAGATACAATTATGAGGATATTCACAGTGGTGCTTGTGATTGAGGTCAGTGGTAATTATCAAGAAACAGAGGCATAGGTGGTGGTACTTGAGTGTTTCCAACCCCTAACAGAAGCTGAGCACTCTGCCTTAATAATGAAGAGCTTCTCTACCCTTCAATTATAATTCTGGATTATAAAAATTATACTTGTAATCAAATTATTTTAAATAGTTTTACACAGCTTTGTAATTAGCCTTTCACCCACTTTCCCAAGATGGAAAACAGCTTTCTCTAGTTAATAGGAGAAAGGTGGTCAATTCTCTCTTGTTGCCTCCCTACCAGACCTGGTCTTTGCTTCCTAAATACTGCTATATTTGCCTTCTTCTTTGTATCATGCATAAGAGCTGGGAGAGGTCTTACAGGTCATCTGGCCCAACTTCTCCTTTCTACAGATAAGGAACTGAGGCTCAGAAGGGTTAAGCAAGGTCACACAATAAATGTCAGAGCTGAGATTTGAACCCAGATCTTCAGAACCCAAACCCTTCAGCCCTCTAACCGGCATTCTTCCTGCATGAGGAAGAGTGGTCTGAATAATGATGAAAACAATTTCAGGCTAGTAAAATATTTTGACCTTACTTTCCAAAGAGATGCATTCGACTGTTGGTTAAATGGCCAAAAGCATTGAATGCTGTCCAAAATACAGGACTTGACAAAAGGATACAGTTTATGGTTCAGGATTCAACTCCAGCAATATGGCACCCACAGCTTTCATTTTAAGTAAATTCATTCCATGATGAATAATTTATCAAGGAGAGAACTGATTCTTTTGGATTATTGGAGAGATAGACTAACATAGAAAAAAAGAGCCTGCCTTGGGGTCAGACCTGAGTTTGAGGCGTGGTTCTGCCACTTATTAGTTGTGTGGCCATAATCAAATCATTTCTCTTCCCTGGCACTCAATTTCTTTATTTGTAAAATAAAGGCAATGATTGGACTACTAGATGATTTCTTGGGTCCCTTGTATCCCTAATACTCTGTAATTCTACTGTGTGATGAGTTCAATTTCTAGTTAATATTCATTAAGCACCTACCTATATGTGAGGTACTGTGT